GGAAATAAGCATGCTCTCGGTGATGTCCGGCTACCGGGGATAAGCCAAAGACACGATTTGGGCACCCTTGTAACAACCTAGCGGGCGCGTGTGGCCAAAGACGACTCTGTACGCAGCGCTTCTATGCCCATGATGTTTGCCGGCATTGGTGACTGCGGATAAAGGAGGTGGGACTTTAAACTGCCACGCCAAGGGTGATCACGTCGAATGGCTGACCTCATTCAAAAGCGAGGGAAAGCCAGTCAGAGGAGCTGTCATTTTACGGGGACGGTGCCCATCAGGCGTTATGGAAGGTGCGACTCATAGTCGTCACATATTTCTCGCAAAGACGTTTGCGAAAAATGTCTTACTCGGCGAAGACGGCATGAGATCCCTGTCAGTAAGTCGCTTTGTGGTTGGCTTTGGGAGAGGGCAGGTTCTCCTTACCTGGGCGATGCTGACGCTACCTGGGCGATGCTGAGGGTAAAGAGCCACTCCGTGCCACAGGACAACAGCGCATTGGTTGTAGGCTGTTGTCAGGCTCTTTGCCAGCTGAAACTGCCATGAACAGTCCGGGTAGCTCTCATAAAACGGGGACGGCACCCACTGGCATTTGTGGAAGGTGCGACTCGGCGTAGTGTTCGGAGAAGACACCATAAGATCCCAGCCAGCAAATACCTGTGTGGAGGGCAGGCCGTCCTCAGGGGCAAGGACGCTGCCTGGGCGACATTAAAGGTGAGAGCCTTTTGTATTGGCGAAAGAGACGTTGAGTTATACGCGTTTACCCCCAACCCGAATGAACCCGAACGCCTCGCGTGAAAGAACCTGACGCTCCGAGATGAGAAGGAATGAGCATTGCAAACGTGTGTTCCCAAGATCCCCAAGATTTTCAAACCCCTTGTTCAGTATAATTTTGGAGAATACTTTAACAATTAATGCATATGATATATCTAAATAATATAAGCTTCTCTAGTATATTTCTGGATGGGTTCCTCGGCGAAAAAAAAATGTTCATGCAGCGCGGCATAATGCAAAGAGATCCAGTGTCTGGCTACCTCTTTCATTTCTTCGTGGAACCCCTAGCAAACCAAATAGGAAAAACGCAGCAACTGTGCGGCCTTCAAACACAACATGGCCAAGAATTTCGGGTGTCATGGTATGCCGACGATTTAATAGTGTTCCTCAAGGCAGATATCGTGTCTTTGAACGGAAAAGTGAAAGAAATAACGAACTGTTCCTCCGTTTCCGGTCTTAAGCTAAATATTAACAGAGCAAAATGCCTTCAAATCGGTATCAGCACTGAAACTTCGCAGAGAAAGACAGGAGGAATTCCATTGCTGAAGAATTAAAATGGCTTGGCATTACTTTCAAAAAGAACAACGCGGACGTCACCAACAAAACCCTTGAATGGAAGGTACCACTGATGGAGAAGGAGATGTTGCAATGGAAAAGACGACATTTAACTTCGGTTGGGCAGACTAACTGTTGTAAAGTGTTTGCTAATATCAAAACTAGTACATATATCCATAGCATTGCCTTATCGCTCAAGAGTCATGCTAAAGAGAATAGAAATGATGTTGTTGAAGTTCCTATGGGGGGATAGACAAGACCGTGTTTAAAGAACTAAAATGGCACAACCGTACGTACTTGACGGTTTGAGTATAGTGGATATCGACTACGTTATAGAAAGCTTAAAAACAGCGTGGATTCGAAGAAGACTTCTCTGCTCCCAACACGATTGGTCGAAACTAATTATGACGAAAGTTGTCTTTATTGAAGACCTGGCAACCTATGGACCAACAAAACTGAAATGTCACTAAAAGATTTCAAACTCCGTTTTGGAAGAATCTATTTCAAGCGTGGTTAGAATTTTCCTCACCAAACAGCCGAGATCAGCATCAGCTTCTGTCCTGAAATTTGTGGCTTTCGGATCTGACTAAGTTTAACGGCACCATAGTTAAAGGCTGGGGCGATAAAGGCCTTAAATGCTTAGCAGATGTCATAAGCCCTTTATCTGGGGAATTGTACTCAATTCAGGAGATAAGAGACATTTACAACATTTTAATGACATTCTTGTGCTACAAATCTCTCGTGAGAAGCCCCCGAAAATGATTAAGAACTCGAACTACATGGGATCAATATTGGTCCCAATAATGCCTCACTAGATTAGGCTGGCAATCCAAGACAACTTATCACGAATAGGTTGTAAACAATTCGCACACTCCATGATGCCAAAACAGCCCTTGACGCAAAGTAATTTAGAAAACAAATGGTTACGAGACCTAGGCTTTGTACGGACAGGAAGTATGTGCGATATTTCCAGCGCAGCAGAGAACACGTTCATTCAATCCTTTTATTTCCGCATGATCAGCAAAATAATCCCAGAAAATTTTCTGCACGGCATTGGTCGATCAGAAGGCAGTTACTGTTCGTTTTGCTTGCATTTTGTTGAAACATGAAGACATCTATATTGGGACTGTTTAATAACCCAGGATTTCCTGAGAGGGGTTGTCACCAAAATATCCGAGGAATTTAACGTAATACTAAACCTTGGCACGAGGGGCAGTGGATATTCCCCAACTTACAAAGCTTGGATAGCATCGAAATTATTATTAAAACGTAAGCCAGGTCACGATTTACAAGACGCATCTGAGGAAAGTACTACCACAAAAATAACATTTTTTAAACCTACTGTAATTGAAGCACAAAAAGAGCGCTACTCTGCCAAATTGCGTAACGAAACGAATATCTTTAACGACAAGTGGGGAAGAGTAGGGGTTATACTGCGAGTAACGCCCAAAACCTTATAACCATAAAATTATGGTCCAGAGCGCGCGCATGCGCTGCGCAACACACAACTCAAGCAATTATGCACGTATTCTCTCATACACACATGCTTCAGACCACGAACATGCACAGCTCACACTTACACATACATTTACGCATTCATGTCTTTCCTGCATGCACCATTCGCGGTAAATACCGTGTTGTGTGTGATCAAGATACGATCGAGGAGGACAGAGGACGCAGTGGCACTCGTTCCAAAACGAGCAAGCGAAAACTAGACATTGTGGTTCTAATGTGAACCGTGCTGTAGATATTGTTATGTGTGAGCAATTACTTGAAGTGATGTACTCGTATACATGACAGGCTGCGATGATGTGACAGGTGTGACTGGATATCGTTGCCGAATACTAGGAGCGATCGATCATTGTACACATCGTCTTCGTGTGATGATTCTGATTGTGTGTGATATGACTTGCGAACAAGTTGAAAAAATACGTAGGGCAATAAAACAAGATTCCCAAACCCCAAAACTTGGCAGTACATTAGGCAACAGCACTCCATCCCGACCCCATGCGCCAAACCTGTGGGGCCCAAGTTGATTAACAATACGACGAATAACTTCAGCGCATGATAATGGCGGGGGGCGAATGCGCGGAATTGCATGCAAATTGGTAGATTGTGAGGACCATTGGAAGCAAAGGCAGCTCAGCATAGGGTAGAGTTCGACGCATTGGAATTGCAGTTAGTTAGCTAATGCTGAAACCGGAGACAGATTGGGGGAATAGGCGGGATGCACGCCAGGACGCTCGTAACCCAAATAACCCAAACAGATGTAACGTAACGTAACGTACGTAACGTAAACGTACGTAAAACGTAACGTAACGTAACAAACGTAACGTAACCCAAACAGGCGTAGCAGGGGAAGGACCATCCCACGGACCCCTCTTGATATTGCATTTCTAACCTCAACCTCAGCCTCCATCCTGAGCAGTAAAGTACATATGTGTCTCAAACGGAATTACCAGTCTCACACTTGCATGTAGTCTGGAAGGAGCGCGGGGTACAGCACATTACTGAGTGCAGTTTCTTTGCAAGACGGCCAGGCTGCCTGGACATATGACGGCATTCCTAGCTTTAAATGAAAAGGGAATATCCTCAAACTTCGTTAAATGGCCTTCCATGACAGTAGTTTGAGGACACCAGAGCTCTTACAAGAGGATTTTGGAAAATGCTGCAAAAGTTACAGAATGTTGCAAGAGCAGTTTACTACTTAACGAATCAAGGTAGCGCTCTAAAACCACTTTCGGTGTTCTCGCTAGGCATTACGGATCCTAGAGATAAAGTTTCAAAATTGTTGTGAAAAGTTGCAGACGGTTGCAAAAGTGATTTACGGCAAGCGTTATAGAGCCCCGGGACCACTTCCGTTCTCTTTGCAAGGGCCGAGAACCCCTGAGTAGCCATAAAGAAAATGCCACAAAATTGCACGAACATTGCAGCTGCAAACAGTACGCTCAGCTTGCTACAACACTGCAGTACCATGCTGTTAACGTGAGTTACGCAAAAATATTTTTACCATCTTGCTAGCAATGACTGATTAAAACAATCAGTATGAAAGAAATTGTCGAGTCTCTAAGACCTGGCGTTCGTGAGCGGACGAATTCCAGATATAACGGCAGTCAATTGGCTCTTAATTAATGCTGTGCACGGTACGCTGACGTGATCAAACAATGACGTATTGAAGAGCCTAATTACTAGACTTTTTCACTTTTACCTGCTTTAAGCTGTATACTGAGGGAGCATAGCCATTTTCATTGTCACCTATATGGACTGTTCGACTCGCTTTTGCAAATCGAGCATAAATTTTCTGCACAAAGACTTGCCATTCGAGTAAGCGTCTCGTGTTTTACAAGCATCAGCTGTGCTGTGAAAGCTGTGGGACATCTTCATCGAGATGTGGAACAACTTGTTGGAGAATTTCGTCAGCGTCGAAACGTTCTCTTAAACGAAAAGTATGTTTTTCCCAAGCAGGGTGCATTTTGCAATCTTAATGTTTGCTCTCGGACAAAATTTGGTAGCACTATGGACAACGTTAATTTCCCAAAGCTATCGCTCAAAAACAGCTCTGATTTACCGTCGAAGTGTGTCCCTTTAAAAATTGTCATTGAAACGTTGACCAGTGCGTACTCAGTGCGAGGCACCACACCTGCCGCCTGTAGCCGCTCCAGTGCTCTCACCCCTCCGCAGACGCCGTGGAGGTGACGTAGCCGTCGGCGAGCGTCCCGTTCCTGGAGGCAGCAACGGGGGAGACGAGCGACGGCGGCGGCTGCAGCCCGGCCAGTTCCTCCAGCGTCGGCAGCGTCGTCCGAAGCAGCTTGCGCGGCCACTTGTCGTAGTTGACACGCGGGTCGCGGTAGTTGAAGACATCGTGGCCCAGCAGCTCCTCTTGGGCCTGTTCGCGGCTCTTTTTCTTATAGAGGTTAAAGAGCGTGATCCGCCACTTGGTGTTGTGATTCAGTGGATTCGAGTCGTGATTTCTAGGCGTGGCCATGAGCTTGGTGGACCCGCGAATTATTTCGCTGCTGGTCTTCTTCAGTTTCACCTTTCTGGCCTTGGCTGTCGTTGCTTTAATCGCCCACACCTAAGGAATAACACTTTAAACAAAAACAGTAGCGAAGACAAAAAGCCACAATCCGTGACCGACACAAAATTGATTGACTTGAGCAATAGAACACATCTTGCACCGCTTGTGTTTCGTCTTCCAGTGCCTTAAGTTTTCAACGAGACAGTCTTTCGAAAGCTTTGCTTCTAATAGAAGACGACAGCCCCAAGAAGGCACCAATCCACCTCCAGAGCGTGAAGAGAGCGCCCTCGAAACGCCTCTGATGAATCCCTCAGCATGGAGAGCGTCACCCTTCGTGTGACGCTCTCTGTGATCCAAGGCTTGCCTGGCAGTCTCTGGAGTCAGGTCACCGACGCCAGCGAACACACAGGAAGGCAGCACCGCGTTACCGCCGTTCCACAGACACTGCTCTGCGCAGCTCGCCCATATCTGCAGCAGCGCGGCACCCCGCGCGGCGGCTGGACCGACAGCTGCACCACCGCCGCCGAGCGACGTTCGGAAGCTCACGCAGAGCCTGTCGAAGCCGACGAAGCCGTCTGAGCAGCACACGCAATGCCGGCTTTGGCGTGCGACTGGCCGCACAGTGCGCCAGGGCCGGGCTCACGTACTTCTGTAACGTGATCGGCCGGGGAAAAACGCCGCCGAGGGGGGAGAGGCCGGACGATGGCACTTGTACTGCTTGCCGGCCTGGGGACGGCTCAACGTCTGTCATTTATCCTATCGACCGCATGGGAAGCCGCATTTTCGCGAATGCAAATGAGCGCGCACAACAAGGCTCCATGTCAAACTGTCGCGTCCAGGCCAATGGCAGCTAGACCTTTGCTCGTCTCGTATCCAGCAAGAAAGCTGTGGCACCAGAAAAAACACCTAACATTTGCATTCAGCACAAAGTCCATGCTAATGAGATAATACCCCATCCTACTCGGCTCAGCCCCCTCCTGCACTTTACTGCACTCCGCTACCCTGTCTAGTCTTGTCCTGTCCTGTCCCGTCCTGCCCTGTCCTGCCCTGTCGTGTCAAGTCGTATCCTGTCCTGCCGCACCCACGTGAGGCCGTAACCGTGTTCGAACAGGATAGGGCGTGTGTTAGGGCGAAAGAGGACAAGACCTGAAAGGCCTGTCCGTTCCTTGTTCTGTCCTCATCTGGTCTGCACCGCGTCCTCGGTCCCCTGTTCTCTGTTCCAAGTCCTCTGCTCTCTGACCTGCCCTCTAGGTCCTCCGTCCTGCCCTGTCTTTTGTCATGCCCGTAGGCCTGTACTCTGCATCCCGCCCTGCGCCCTGCCCACTGCACTGTCCCATCATCTTTCCTGGCCAGCCCTCTGCACTGCACTGTCCTCCGTCATACGCCGTCTTTATTTCTGCAAGCATTTTGTTGTCCCGCTCGACGACCTGCACTTTCCCTTCTGGGCTGTTCTTCGTTTCACCCGTCCTGCACTTCGTGTTCTGTCGTGTTCGGTCCTGTGCCATACCCAACCCTTGATCCTTCTCGGTCCCTTGTTCCGCTCTGTCCTCTGCGCTACCCTGTCTTCTGTCCGCCCAGCCACGCCTTCTCCGGGCCCAACGTGCACTGCCCTGCAACGTGCTGACTTGCTCTGGATGCTTCCCTCCGCCTCTTTCCCGGTCCTCCGTCTTGCACTGGCTTCAACAAGAGGTTACCATGCAAAGACTCTTCCTCTTCTGGCACACTCTGCAGCAGCATATTTACCAAATCCCGCGTCTTCCACGTGGTTCCAACACAACATGAATCGCGTGTCTTCCATGTTTCAACACCCGAGCTTTCGGCAGCACCGAGCACTCAGGCTGTGGGTTAGGTGATTTCTCCGTAAATCGTTGATAATCTTCCGGATCGATGGCTCGTCTATCAAAAAATGGCCGGTCCTTGAAGATCATCAACCTCATCCATCTCCATGTCCCCCACAAAACTCGTGTCAGCGTTGAGCTTTTAATATTTTCGAAGCCAGGTGCACGGTTCCAAGTAGGTACGCGGGCACCGATAGGTAGGTGGGTAGGTGAAAGGATAGGTAAGTGGTTATATTAGAACCTGGCAGATAGTGGTTACTGCGATGCTGCTAGTTGACATCTACAGCAGTACACAGGGGCTCCAGGCAGCGGGGGGGGGGGGCACAGGGAGCACGTGTCCCCCCTTTATTAGGTCTCAATGGCCCTTCCGGGCACCTCAGGACCTACAATATCAGGACCTACCTTTGGCAGGCATTTCGGGCCTGCCGAAGGTCGTGTTCAGGGGCCCTAGCCAGCAGGGCCGGGCGCTCCAATGTCAGTCAGAGGGCCCTGAGTGATAACCAGGCACCCACATATTCGATAAGGAGCCACATGTTGGTCAGACACCACCAGTGGTATACACTCGGTTCCGTGTCGACATGGGCCTAAGGACCCATTTTCCAGCGGGGGCAAAACCGGAGCCAGCGATTTACACTGGTCGGGCCCCGGTATCTGTCGCGGGTCCACAGTATCTAACAGGGGTCCGGTGTTCGCAAGGGGTCCCAAGGACATCCAAGAACAGTGTTCCGAAGAGAAGCCTGAGCGGCCCTCCGGAACCGACTATCATGGGCCCTAGAGGAGAAGAGCAGGTTGATTTGACCTTGGCATAACCTTCATACCTGACCCTAGGTCAATGGGCTTTGTTTATTCGATTGTTTTGTTGCCTAGGAAAGTATCTCAGAGATGTATGGCTTCGTCTAACACTCCGTTGTTCCGTCAGGTTGAGTGATTCCCTAGAAATTGACTTCGCTGAATCCACGACCTGACTTAGACCTGCCGTAGGTCAGTGGCCTTACAAGATACCTCTAAATTTTGTACCAAACGACCCACTATTCAACTGCCTACAGCTATGCAAAATTTGGCGCGGCTGCGCCGCGCCGTTCGGAAACCATTCCGGAAAAACCGTCGGGGAGCAAATTGACCCCACCCGAGTGCGTGTTAACCCTTGCCCTGATTGGGGCGGGAGGGTTTGATGCGACCATCCATAAGGTTTTCTATGGATACCTGGACTGTCGTCCAATCGTGCCAAAATTTTCAGCAGCCAATGGAGCATCCATCGCCCGTGTTTTGGTAAAGAATGGTGTTTCGAGCGGTGTTTTATTTCGACACAGCGGGGGTTTTTGAGGAACACTTCAAGGCGATCTACAGCCTGAGCAGGTTGCAGGTCGACATTGTTATATCAAGAGCCATGCATCGTAAATATATTGCCAAAACACATAAAACTACGTCACGTTGTACTTATAATATGCCGAGAAACACGCCTTCCTAGGTAAAGTGACGTTAAGACGCATGGCCTCGCACATATAAGCATGCATTTGTGAAAAGTTCGATTTTCGGAAACATTTTACTTGGGGCTGACATAATGGAGCTAGTTATTGACCTAAAAAAACACAAGCTTTGTTGCCATCGCGAGATCTAATTAAGAACAATGCATTAGTACTTTCTCCTAAGCCTTCTCTTTCTTTGGTTGAGAACAGCGGAGGATCGCAACGAACCTCCCCCCCCCCCCAATCAGTTTACGTTATGAAAACGATGAACCATGGCGAGGCTTAAGCACAAAACGAAATGATGGGTGAATGACACTCAAAAATACATATCCAAGCAAGCGTCGTGGAGAGACCAAATTGATAGGTTTCCTTGTGCGCGGGGCGAGCTGATCACACATTCACGTGATTGATTTGTGTCCATGTTGCTCCGCACGCAGTGCAAGACGCATTGCTCTTGGAGTCTGTCACAGCAGGGCTAGCTTTTCTGTCCACCATCAAGGGACAAAGCTAATGAGGAACTTTCACCCAAATGTCGCCCGGGGTAACCAAGACTGTTGGCTACAACCGACTGATCTCAGATTAGATCCGTCAGCTTTCTTCTCTCGATGTCTCTGCAGTCTTGCGGACTGTAACGGCATATCTCGGCTTCGACTCGTCAGGTCTCTTCTTTCAATATCTCTGTGGTCTCGCAGGTGTATATGATGCCAGGAGATCTGCATGCCTACCTGATGACGGCACACCATTCTGTCAGAGCACTGCGCTGTCTCCAGAGTCTGAAATGTACCATTGCCTTGCAAACTAATCTTTCTTTTGCGATTCCTTCATGCTTCTCACTGACTGACTGCTTGTACACTGACTAGTATGTGGCACCATCGGGTCCACACTTTTTTCCCGAGCTTCCCGAGCCCATAAAATGGGTGTGACGATGTTCATATCGTTCTCTTAAAAGGCGACAAAATAGAGAACACCATAGGCTGTCTGTGAGCTGGGTCCCGGCTGGGACATCGATCGGTTCAACATCGCCAAGATATCATGCACTTCCAACAGACGGCGAAGGGTGTGGTCGAGCAGTGCTTCAAGAGTCCCTTGAACACTATTGTTACGGGAAGTCATTATGGCAGCCGTTAGGCAACAGCCGTCTTTTGCTGATTGCAATTTGTTGTACGTGGAAAGATCGCAAAAACGTTTGCCAGTTAGCAAAAAAGTGCGCCCGAAACCCAGACACCATTCTTGGAAGACGTTTGTGGCGCCTCGAGACGGTCCGGTCGGCTAGTCCGGTCCGGTTGGTCGGGCGTCCATATTATCTGGCGCAACGGCCGCTGAAGCTAACGTTCTTGTCATGCGAACGTCAGGTAGCCAGTTATCCCGCCGATGTTTGGCGTGAGCGCGGCGGAACCACCCGGACAAACGGAGGGGCCGCGCCGGTCATCAGGGGTAGGCCCACGTTCCTCAGGTTTTCCGAACGGATGTCGCCCACGCTCATCGGATGCGACCGCAGCCGACTCCCGCAGATTCTAGAACATCAGGTAGACAAGAAAACAGCGGCTCCACCAACGCTCGGTGCGAGCACAATGGACCGTAAGCGCAGGCAGCGGTTATGGAGGTCAGCGACAAGGATTTTCTATACGAGTAACTCATTGAGTGGTGAAATATAAGACATAGATGTTTCAGGATTGTTGACATATGGTTTTATCTCGCAAAGACCCTTAAAATCGGCCCTAGTTTTAATTTTTTCTGCCACGGTATTGCACAGCGACCTTCTCGCCCCATGCCTTGCGCTCGCTCCGTCAGCGCGAGCTTACGCTTCTTGTATTTACCAATATGGCGGCCGGCTTTACGTACCAGCAAGCAGACCACTCCATTCACCTGTCCTATCTAGTCTGTATATCTATGGTGCTAACTACAGATATATAATAGCACTACCTCGGCGACACCAACGCCTAATTACTAACAGACGTGAGCAATCGAAAGAGGGGCATGGGTTGCAAAATAGCATGCACTCGAAGGCAAACCAGAAGAATTAAGGTAGGCTGGGCGAGTTACGGGCAACCTAAGCCAACGGTTACCTTTTGTGAAACGCATGCGCTCGTCAGCCGAAATTAACGCTCCATTTGCTTGCATCGCATATGTCGTCGTTCAGCCACACCCGGCCGCTTACACATGTGAGTTTAGTTTAATGCAATGCACAATATACTTCTTCGGCCGCGTACAGTATGGGTATAGCCGTTTCAGATCCATGGTGTACCTATATATATAAATATATGTACATATATATATGCATAT